ATCGTTAGCCCTCTTTACAGCATCTAGCGCTAAATCTTGTACGTCGACAGCAAAGTTTACTTCGGTCGGTCGCGAAAGCATGCGGTGCTGAATCGTGTTTAGTGATGAATCACAACCCTTGCTTTACTTAAACCAGAAAAGTAGTATGTGGAGGAAGCTCGGCGTGCCGTTGTATCATATATAGAGTTGCGGTTAGGAAAGGTACTGTTCTGGTTGGACTTACAGGGTATGGCAAAACCAGTTATGAAAATACTTTTTAGTAGTGTAATGTTCTATTGAAATTGAATTGATGTACTAAGATAATCAAACCTGTTTAGTGATATTTCTCCAGGGCCGGATTTAGACTTGATAAGGCTCCAAGCTATTTGAGATATGAGGTTAATTCGTTCAATTTAATAATTCTAGGTATTAGAGCCAAATTGATTTTCAGATATCTAGAGGGTTTTGAGGGGCCCCCAAGAAAGCGGGGGACCTAAGCTATAGCTTGCATAGCTTATACGTAAATCCTCCACTGTCTTTCGCTATACTTTAAATGGCCGACGTTACATCAGAGACGGAATGTCATCCTCCTAACTCTTTCACATTGCTATTACCGGCAAGGCGTCTATCTTTAAAGACAATAATGCCATTGCGTAGACACATGTCTAACAAAAGCTTGAGCAGTTTTACAGTTCTTTGCCCGGTCAGAACTTTTCGGAGTCGAAAATGAATAGAATAGTTTTGCCAACCTCAAAAATTGCTTGGACTTGCTAAGCAGTTACATAATATCTGGTGTCAAACTATACAACAAGCAATAGATTTCTGTGCGAGTTCATCTCAGACTCAGTATCATTATGCATTTTCACCAGCAGAGTCGTAGCTAGGGTTTTCAGCGCCCAGGGACAACTGAAGATTTCGCGCCCCCTACTGCTTGCCAAGGATGGAAAACATTTAATTCTAAAATGTCGTAACATCAGTTTGGCGCCCCTTGGATTCTGCGCCCAGGGGACAGATGTCCCCTCTTGCCCCCGTCTAGCTACGCCCCTGTTCACCAGAGTTACTAATGTCATCATTATTAATATGTAGTGATTCTGGGTTCGTATTTTTTCAATAACTGATTAAATTGTTATCTAGTTATAATCCGCTATTTATCTTTGTCTCGAGCTCCATACTGATTGAACGCCTTTTTTTTTCAGGTGCAGAGAACTTTATATCGGCTCAAATCTTACAACGATCCTGAAAACAATAACGCGATAAAAGAATTAGTAATAGAAAATAATAAAATTCAGTAACCTCTTTTTTGCTCTTTACCCCCACTTTTTGCTTCGATTCTTCAAGGTCTACATTTAAGAGTGCAGAAACTCTCCTTGTCCACTACTTCCAATATAATAATCATTCAAAAGAGATTTTCATAAAAACATTTTAAAAGTGCTAATGTGAACTAAAGAAAAGATTTCAATGGAAAAGTGTTTAGAGGTGCATTTTAACGGTCGACCGTAAACCATGGTTGTAGAGGCCGATGCTGGTGCGATTAGCCGCTTAAGCTATTCGCACCACCATTAACCACGCATGCGAATTGAATTGTCAGATCCGTAACGGATTCCACGTACGCGAACTGCCCGAATCTTTTTTTTTTTTAAAGGCGGGTTACTACCTTGGCGTAGTTTATCATTTTTTAAGCGTTGGCGACTTTCAAAAGTTTAGAAAGGAAAATGGGTTCCTTTTCTTATAAAAAGAAGAAACATTTCTTTTTATTAAAGTATATATAAAAAAGAGTAGATTTTTATGTTCGTAATGTTTATCGTTTTCCTGAACGGTTGGAATAGTTTAAATGACTGATTAGTGGGGGGGGGATCTTGTTTACATTTTTTGTACTTCTTCATTTGTTACAATTCATTCTTCTTTGAAAATTTTCGTCCAAGAAAAGATAATAAAAATTAGACAGAGGATTTTTGTGTAGACATAAAATTTAAAGCGATTTGTAAATAATCATATAGGTTATTGACAGTTCTGTATACCTGCTTATTTTTTTATGGATACTTTTCGGCACACAAATTTTCAACATTTAAAACTTTAATGTAATAGTTTAGATTTTAATTTGCACACAAATGATTATCAGATTTATAAGGTTTTATTTCATTTTTGAAAATTGAAATTGATTTTGTAACCTATAAAATGATACTTTAAAAGCTGATTAATATTCAACCCTTTCTATTGCTGGTTATCTGGGTTAATCTTTGAAGTTCATATTAAATTTCTGGTTAAACATAAAAGAATTTGTCAATAATCGAACCTTTTAATTTAATCATTTTGAACTTATTAATATTTCTTGCGCCATTGTAAAGATAATTATTACTTGCAAATTAACTTCCAGTTGAACAATTTAAAAATTACGAAACGACTATTTTAAACAATCGGCTAAAATGCAACGAATGGATATTGTGCCTTGCTAGTTGTTTTGAATAAAAAATGCTACACACAAATTATTGCTATCCACTATTTGTTAATTGTTTCTAAGAAAAGGGACGTAATCAATTTGAATTAACGAGTTCGAGTTTTTTTAAAGTTGTTAAAAATGATTGAACTCGAAAGTCCTTGTAATACTTTTGCTTGAAATTAGGTTTAAAGGATGTTTTTAATTCAGCTTAGCTTTTACAATTGCTCAATTTGGCTTGGAGAATAATTTGTTTGATTAGTTTAGGCAACCGAATGTTTATATTCCGATTTGCCCCCTTCTCTTTAAGCTTTCTTCTCCATTTAAGACGAACTCATTATCTTCTTTCTTCATAGAGACCGTATTCCTGCAAAAGAAAGGAAAAGAGAGAATTTTTGCTCCTTGAAATTAGGAGTAAGTACGAAGTGGAGCAATTCTTTCTTTTACTTATTAACTTATTTCTTGTATAAAAATTTCAGTATTTATATTTAAAAATATTATTTCCTTCGCAGGGAAAATTGTTTGCTCCGTAAAAATTTGTGCCTTTTCTAAAGCTTATTTGTGATTAGTTGCCAGGCTGTTTTTTTTTTTTTTTTTTTTTTTTTTTTTCTGTGTGATTGTTGAAATCTTACGTGGAATTGTTTAATACGATTTTCCTCGATCACATCATGAAAATTAAATTTCTTTAGTGTTATTCCTAGGAATCGTAATGGCTTTAAAGATTTCGCTTTTTAGGATTATGTGATTGTTTCGTAGCTTTTCGTGATTTACTCCAAACATTTAATACTTTTATCTGAAGCTTCACGGAGCGTTCTAGCCTATTGCTATTTACTTTAAACGAATCTCAGTTTGGATATCTCCATTCTATTTGTTTTGGGGGGGGCTGATATGTCTCAAACCGTGTATGCGTATGTTTGTTTGATGTTGTGTTCTAAAAAGTTTATGAAAATATTCTTTTCTCTGATGTTGTGTTTCTTTGATGTTGTTATGATTGATCGCAAGCATTTCATCTTTTTTGTTTGGACCCCCCATTTTTCTTTTATTTTATTATTTTTTTTCTTCTGTCATTACCATCAGTTTCCGGGTTCTGTTTCATTTCTTCTTGTTTTCTCTACTTTTGATTAATAACAAATGGAATTTAGATTAAGTGCTCACTTTACTGGAACGAACATTCTATATAGGCTTATGATATTTTGAATTTAGGATACATACATTCGAACAGGGAATTCCATGGACTTCAAAACATATAATTTTATGGCTTAGGACACGTTTTCTTCTTTCTGGACCATTCACTCTATAATTGACACATAATTATCACACTCGTTAGTGTGCCTAACTTTTAGATTTTCCAGCTCTCGTCATCTTCGGCTTTAACAATTCGCCCAAGGCTTCTTATTTTTTTGTCAACTCTTAAACCTTTTTTTAACTCTTTCTTATCCTTGTAAATATAACAATTATATTCCAAAGGACGAAATTCAGATAAAACAACATGGTGAAGATTTCTTACCTTCTATCTGTTTGTGGTTGTAGACATATTTAGTGCAATAATCAATAATAAGTAGTAATCATAATTCATTGTTTATCCATTATTAATAGAATTCCAGCTATCTTGTTTTTTGATACCTTAGTCTCATTACTTGGCAAAATGTAATGAAATTTTTTAATGTAACATAACCGGTTTCTAAATTGTTATTTAACTAACTTACAAGTAACATTTTTGGAGATAATTATGAGTACCTATGAAATAAAAAATTCTTATTCATTTACCTTTCGCGTAAAGCTGTACTTAAAATGGAGTTTGAAGATATTGTTGAATGATTGCTGTTGTGATATTTTTCCTCTTTTTGAGCTGTGATACTTTTAACGAATTTCGGTACTTATATCATCTTTCTGAATGCTGGTGCAAACTGAAAATTTTTAATGCTGGCTAGGATAGCAACTGTATAGAATGTGCTCTTAAAAGAATGCAATTGCATATTATTTCAACAGTCAAAATGAATGATAATTTTATCATTGATTTGTGATAACATTGTAATTTGTTTTGGAGAGAGTGCAGAATCGCCCACTGCTTGGAACGGTTTTAAGAATTGCACATACTTGGTATCCATGTACACATTGACCTACTCTCACTTAAAAAAAAAAAATCCGATAATTAAAAGCGTCAAAGAAAATTGACACAAATCCAATTCTTCTTACTTTTGTAAAAAGCACCAACAAATAAGTGGGAAATTCTGCACGTTAGCCATTTTTTTTTCTTATATTGTTTCAGGAAAGCACTATATAATGGTTATTTACATATTGTGTTTTAGTAATATACTTCCCTGTTATTTGAAATAATACAGCAGCATCTTTCTTTTGTGATAGGTGATTTAAATTATTTTCTAATCAAACAATAAAAAATTATGATCTGTTGAATTACATGATTAAACATAAAGAGTCGCTGAGAATCCTTGGTGCAATATTATTAAATCTGCAATTGTTGGGACAAAATATTCAAGTGGTCACACCAGTGTGTCTGTGAATGACATAATGCTGAAGTATTTAAATTGTTTTCAATAGCAGCTCCTTCAGATTAAGAATATTGCTATTAAACATTAACTTCTTTACAGCTTTGAATTCAAGCACTTGTAAAAACTGGAAGCAAGAGGACACAGGAGCCTAATAAATGTAAAAATTGCCAAAAATAGCAATAACAATACGAAGTTGGGAATTTCACTAAAGCGCTATTTGTAGGTAGCAAACATTCTTCTCACATTCCTCTTGCTTTCTTTCATTGCTGTTTACAGTTTGCACTTAATATCACACTCATTATTGTCTTTACCCATGCAATTTATTCTTCACTTATTTGTCATTGTTTTCTTCGATTTCCACACTCTCTTAATAGCTTATCTTCCACACTATCTTAAAATCTAGCACGTCACGTATTTGAATACTTCTTTTAGGATGAAATTAAATCAGCCGAGATCCGTTCAGAGAAATTTTAAATACAGTTGTTTCCCAATAGGGTAATGTTCTTTACTTAGTTTTGGGGAAAAAAATGCTCTTTACAGGGCCCTACAAATTCAATAAAAAGGAAATGAAGTATTGTTTTAAGTTGATAAGCATATTTTTGTGCAATAATAAAATTAATTTGAAATTGATTTCAATAACTAATGTTTTTTTATGCTAATTTTACTCACATATGGTTAATATCATGTTTTCTTTTGATAACTTTATATGTACTAAATATTATAATAATATATTTAACCAGCTAATTTTGATTTACACATACTCCCTGAACTTAAATTTAGATGCACTAAATGTGCTTGACAAGATGACATAAATAAAATTAATTATGTGTGCTCATTATACTTTTCTTCCTAGTTTTAATTCTTATACACTAATTAACATATTTAAGCAGCTAAATTTGATTTTACATTTAATATCATGCTTTTTGTGCTAACTTTATACTTATTATCATGTTTAACCAGTTAATATTTATTTACATATGCATAATATCATGAATTTTTTTTTCCTTAAACATAAATTTAACTTTTGTATGCTTAATATCATGTTATTTTTCTGAATTTTAATTCTTATGTTAAATATGATGCTTAATAAGCTATATTTGACTTATATATGCTTCATGTCAGGTATTTTCTACTGATTTTATGCTTAATATAATGTTTGAAAACATTGTCTGTTAACCTTTAGCAAGCTCAGTGAGTAAAAAATGCATTGTTGCCAACCGATTCTTGGTGGTATCCGCAACAGGTTCTATTTTATTTAATACAATTTTTTGGCGGCAATTCTTAAAAAATAAATAAATATATAAAAACATACCGGAAATTCATTTTCCCAGTTTTTTTCTGTTGGTGGAAGATTGATAATAGTAAGCATAATGAGTATTTTACAATGAAAAACCTCTATATTGACACACTTTTATAACAAAAAATGGCTAATCTTCCATAAGCACAGTAAGTTGGCATCAAACTATTTTGGCCTTCAAAATTTGGCTAATTTTTTTTAGTGGCAATGAGAGCACTAAGATGTGAGTTTTTAAGCGTAAACAGAATAGTAACTTTTAAGTTTTGCAGTAGTAAAATGCCGTTATTTTATGTAAACAGAATAGTAAAATGAGATGATAAATTATTAGATGAATAAGTTCATCAGCTTTGCAAGTAAAAACATAGTCCTATCTATGTAATTCATAATAAAATAGTATAATGAATAATAAATTGTATAACACTTTCCTTGGACTCCAAAATTGTCAACCAAGTAAATATACAGTCAGAAGTCGTTAATCCGGACTCATCAGGACTTCGGCGATTCCGGATTATCAATTTTTTCGGATTATAGATCATCAGTTTAAATCTAGTAAGATGGCATGCAGAAATTATAAAATTAAAAATATCAAACCGTAATTTATGAAATAAAGAACAATTATGATCTAAAGGGTATCAAAATTTACAAAAAAAAAAAAAAAAAAAAAAAAAAAACCCTTAATATTTCTTTGTTTACTTTATTAAACATTTCTTTCAATGTAAGTTGTTTAAGTTGCTTCGTTTTATGTGATAATACTTTCTCTTTAATTCTATAAACAGACATAATTTCTTGTTCAGTTACAAAGTTCCGCTGTTCAAGTCCTATAATTGCTGTGTCGAGAATACCGACTAATTTGTTAGTCGAAATTTTTTCGTTTTCAATAACCTCTGTGTCACTTTCTTTACTATCGGAAGCGAATTATAATGACGAGGAATTTGATTTGAATCATATAAGAGACAGAGTACATCGAGATGAAATACTACATTTAGTAAGAAATTATAAGCCAAATAAAATGAAAATATCTGCCCTGAAGATAAGGATAGTGCTGACAGATCAATTTCCAATTCATTGCGTGCCACGTCGTTCCACTTATGCTTCGTTCCATTATGCTTTTTTTTAAAAAAATTCAAAATTTATTGATTAACTTTAAAAAAGATTTTAGGTACTTTTCCGTTTCATTGGCGCAAATCTCGCCAAGCAGACTTTATTGGCGACAACACACAGTATACACATAAAAAATGTTAACAAATGTTAGTTCAAAGAAATTTTTATTTTGAAGGCATAAACATTTTAATATTGTTTAAAATTTCATAAAAAGCCAATAAATAAAGACAGTAAATTTGTAAAAAGACTTTAATTTAAGAATTTGCTATGCTTTCATCGTACAGCATCTTGATTTGTCATTTCATATCACGTGATCTCATCTCATGTAAACTATGCTACAAAAATCTAATTATCTCAGGAATTATCTACATTAATTTAAAGTTAAATCTTAATTTGGAATACAAGTTTAAGTGCAAAAATTATTTCAATTTGTACGAATAGCTTGCTCAGAAATCATGTAAAAACGAAGTGATTTACTTCGGTAGTGCATTCTCGATTTAACTCTAGACTGCTTTTTGTATTATATTTTTGCCTTTGTGTGAGCAGTGTGATTGCATCCTAATTGACTTGATTACCGTGAATGGCCTTAGCCCATAAAACTGAACTATCTGGTAAAAATTCTATGTACTTGTGTGCCAATATTGAAAGAAACAATCAATCTGATAAGAAATGGCTCCTACTTGTTTTGAAAATGAAGCATAAAAGGTTACTAGCAAGGATATTCCGTTTGGCATCGGTTGTACAGTCAAAAGTCGTTAATCCGGACTTGTCGGGACTTCGGCGATTCCGGATTATCGATTTTTCCGGATTATAGATCATCAGTTTAAATCTGGTAAAATGGCATGAAGAAATTATAAAATTAAAAATATGAAACCGTAATTTATGAAATAAAGAACAATTATGATCTAAAGTGTATCAAAATTTACAAAAAAAAAAAAAAAAAAAAAACTTAATATTTATTTGTTTACTTTATTAAACATTTCTTTCAATGTAAGTTGTTTAAGTTGCTTCATTTTTTATGTGATAATACATTCTCTTTAATTCTATAAACAGACATAATTTCTTGTTCAGTTACAAAGTTCCGCTGTTCAAGTCCTATAATTGCTGTGTCGAGAATACCGACTAATTTGTCAATCGAAATTTTTTCGTTTTCAATAACCTCTGTCACTTTCTTCGCTATTGGAAGCAAATTATAATGACAAGGCATTTGATTTAAATCATATCAAAGACGGAGTATATCAAAATAAAATACTACATTTAGTAAGCAATTATAAGCCAAATAAAATAAAAACATCTGCCCTGAAGATAAGGATAGTGCTGACAGATCAACTTCCAATTCATTGCGCGCCCGGCGCGGCTTTAAAGATGAACAAAGTTTAGATAAACAAACGTTAAAGTTTAGATAAACAAAGGATATGCCTTTATCCATTTTTTGCAGCAATTCCACTTTTTGTTTAATGGACTCCGAAACATACTTTCGCTTTGTAGATCCGTTACATATTAGTAAATATAAATCGGAAATTCTATTTGACATAATCGAAAGTTCAAGCTTACTTTTATAAAATTGCTCTAACAGTCTGCAAAAAATAATAAGCCGGATCCAATTCGAAGATTAAGGAACAACGCAATCTGCAACATTAACTGAAATAGATAATTAGAGCTTAGCTTATACAGTCCGTTATACATTAAACGCGCATTCATAAACGTATTTTGCGCACGCGCACACACAAATTCGCAGCCATAAAGGTCTTACGCGCATGCGTCAAGAAGACGCATGCGCAGAAAGTTTATAGCTTTGAGATCTGGATTAAGGATCATTCCGGATTATTCGTGTCCGAATTAACGACTTTTGACTGTATCATTTTTGGTGATTTAAGCGCTTGCACCTGCAGAATGGAAAAGTACCAGATTTTATTATGGATCATTATTTATATAAATTAGATCTCAAGTTAGAATTTCTTTTTACATGCTTGATATTTTCTATGAATTAGAAGGAAAAGAAAAAAAAATTGGCAGATATGAAACTGATTTTGAGGTTGACTCAAACTGTTGTTTATTGATTAAAAAGAGCTTTGGAGGAATTTACTGTGGTTAGCAATTTACATTTGAAATGATTAAATTTAGCATATGATTCTTCAATGATATGCTTTGATTTTATATGTATTGATGATATCTTCTGATATATATTTTTAGTATGTTAAAAACGTCCTTAACAGATTCTCTCAGAAATTTTTGAATTTGAATACAATCAAAAGTCTTTAATCCGGACGTCCATAATCTGGAATGATCTATAATCCGGACCTCAAAGCTACAAATTTTCGGAACATGCTTCTACGCATAATGCGTTAATGCATGCGCATATTCGTCTGCGCATGCACATATGCATCTACCCATGCACATAATACGTTTACGCATGCACATTTAATGTATAACGGACGGTATAAGCTATGCTAAAATTATCTAATTATCTATTTCAGTTAATGTTGCAAATTGTGTTGTTCCTTAATCTTTGATTTGGATCTGGATTATTGTTTTTTGCAGACTGTTATATCAATTTTATAAAAGTAAGCTTGAACTTTCGATTATATCAAAAAGAATTTCTGATTCTGGAGCTACCAAAGGATCTACAAAGCGAAAGCATGTTCCGATGTCCATCAAACAAAAAGTGGAATTGCTGCAAAAAATGGATAAAGGCATATCCTTTGTTTCTCTAACCATTCCGAAATCTGTTTATCAATTTCACGCTGCTCTGCGCCGGGGGGGGGGGGACGTCGCGGCGCGCAATGAACTGGAAGTTGATCTATCAGCACTATCCTTATCT